TGTTGAATTTGGGACAGTTTGGGTAATTTGGGTTAAATTTGGGTCATTTTGGGTAATTTGGGTTGAATTTGGGTCATTTTAGGTCATTTTGGGGCAGTTTTATTTCAATTTGGGTTAAATTTGGGTCATTTTGGGGCTGTTTTATCTCATTTTGGGCTGAATTTGGGTCATTTTGGGTAATTTGAGCTGAATTTGGGTAATTTTGGGTCATTTTGGGGCCATTTTATCTCATTTTGGGTTAAATTTGGGTCATTTTGGGTCATTTTGGGGTTATTTTATCTCATTTTGGGTTAAATTTGGAGCTTTTTGGGTCATTTTGGAGCAATTTTGGGTCATTTTGGGCTGAATTTGGGACATTCTGGGTCATTTTGGGGCTATTTTATCTCATTTTGGGTTAAATTTGGGTCATTTTGGGTCATTTTGGGGCTATTTTATCTCATTTTGGGTTAAATTTGGGTTTTTTTGGGTCATTTTGTGTCTATTTTATCTCATTTTGGGTTAAATTTGGAGCTTTTTGGGTCATTTTGGGGCGATTTTATCTCATTTTGGGTCAAATTTGGGTCATTTTGGGTCATTTTGGGGCTATTTTATCCCATTTTGTGTTGAATTTGGGACAGTTTGGGTAATTTGGGTTAAATTTGGGTCATTTTGGGTAATTTGGGTTGAATTTGGGTCATTTTAGGTCATTTTGGGGCAGTTTTATTTCAATTTGGGTTAAATTTGGGTCATTTTGGGGCTGTTTTATCTCATTTTGGGCTGAATTTGGGTCATTTTGGGTAATTTTGGGTCATTCTGGGTCATTTTGGGGCTATTTTATCCCATTTTGGGTTAAGTTTGGAGCTTTTTGGGTCATTTTGGAGCAATTTTGGGTCATTCTGGGCTGAATTTGGGTCATTTTGGGTAATTTGGGTTGAATTTGGGTCATTTTTGGGTGATTTTGGGGTTATTTTATCTCATTTTGGGTTAAATTTGGAGCATTTTGGGTCATTTTGGAGCAATTTTGGGTCATTTTGGGCTGAATTTGGGTCATTTTGGGACATTTTGGGGTTATTTTATTTCATTTTGGGTTAAATTTGGGCGTTTTTGGGTCATTTTGGGGCTATTTTATCTCATTTTGGGTTGAATTTGGGTCATTTTGGGACTTTTCCAGCTAATTTTGGGTCAAATTTGGGTCATTTTGGGTGATTTTGGGGCTATTTTATCTCATTTTGGGTTAAATTTGGAGCTTTTTGGGTCATTTTGGGGCCATTTTGTCTCATTTTGGGCTGAATTTGGGGTAATTTGGGTTGAATTTGGGTCATTTTGGGACGTTTTCAGCTCATTTTGGGTTGAATTTGGGCTATTTTGAGACATTTTGGGGCTATTTTATCTCATTTTGGGCTGAATTTGGGTCATTTTGGGTAATTTGGGTTGAATTTGGGTAATTTTGGGTCATTTTGGGGTTATTTTATCTCATTTTGGGTTAAATTTGGAGCTTTTTGGGTCATTTTGGAGCAATTTTGGGTCATTGGGTCATTTTGGGGTTATTTTATCTCATTTTGGGTTAAATTTGGAGCTTTTTGGGTCATTTTGGAGCAATTTTGGGTCATTCTGGGCTGAATTTGGGTCATTTTGGGTCATTTTGGGGCTCTTTTTTCTCATTTTGGGCTGAATTTGGGGCAATTTGGGCTGAATTTGGGTCATTTTGGGTAATTTGGGTTGAATTTGGGTTAATTTGGGTCATTTTTGGGACGTTTTCAGCTCATTTTGGGCAGGATTTTGGTTACTTTGGGTCATTTTGGGTCATTTTGGGTCATTTTGGGTCATTTTGGGGCTATTTTATTTCAATTTGGGCTGAATTTGGGTCCTTTTGGGCTGAATTTGGGTCATTTTCGGGTCATTTTATTTCAATTTGGGCTGAATTTGGCTCATTCTGGGCCGATTTTCTCTCACTTTGGCCTAAATTTGCCTCCTTTTGCCTCATTTCAACACCCCCCAACCCATTTCCGGGCTCCCCCAACCCATTTTCGGGGTCCCCGGACCCGATTTTGGGGGTCCCTGACCCGATTTTGGGGGTCCCAGACTGATTTTCGGGGCTCCCCGACTCCCCAGAGTGGCGCGAGGCCCAGGCCACGCACGAGGCCGAGCAGCGCCGCTGGCGCCTCAAGAACCACCTCGACCTCGCCGCCAAAGGTGACCAAAAACCCCCCAAAAAAACACCCCAAAAACCACCCCGGACCCCACCCCGAACTTAATTCCTTCATTTTTAATTTTTTCATTCATTTTCCAGGCCCGCTCCGACAAACCTTCGCCAAAAACCCCCTCCCCCCGCCCTCCACCGCCCCGGCCGCGCCCTCAGAAACCCCGAAAAGACCCTGGAAAAACACTTTGGGATGACGGAGGGAGACAATAAAAATAAAAATAAAAACCGCGCGGAAAATAAAAAAATAAAAAACCTGACTTTTTTTTGGGAAAAAACGGCGAAATTCGGCGGGGTTTGGGGCGGTGTGGCCGATGGGAGTTGCTGTAACAAAATGGCGGAGGCGCTGAGGCGACCGCGCATGCGCAAAGAAGAAACCGCGCTGTTTTTGCCGTACAAGATGGCGGCGTGCGCTTTGCCGTACAAAATGGCGGCCGCGCATGCGCAGAGATGACCTCGGGGTGGTTTTGCCGTACAAGATGGCGGCGGGCAGCGATCGCTGCGTCCCGGCTTCAAAATAATCCCAAATTCGCGATAAATTCGAGTTAAAATCGAGTTAAAATCGAGTTAAAGTCGCGTAAAATTCCCTTTTCATCCCCGGTTTTCCCGCCTTCCGTACAAGATGGCGGCGCCCCTCACCCTCCGCACCACATCACCTCCAAAATGGCGCCGCGCGTTCCCCCGGCTCTTTCCGTACAACATGGCGGCCACCGCGGTACTTCCGCCTCCCCCCTCGCCGTGCGCGCTGACGTCAGTTCCGTCCGACTCCAAGATGGCGGCGCGCAGGGCTCTCCGGCTCGGTGC